AACCCCCCCCCCCCCCCCGATTCAAAATATGGGGGAAAGCCTCATCTTGGATTTGAGTGCCTGCCCAGGGCAGGCAGCTGCTATGGCTCCTGTTCTGAACTGGGCCTGGGACCAGAGCTGCAGCCAATGTCTGCCAAGGGCCATAGCCATTGCTGTTGCCTGGCCAGGATCAGGGATAGGCCTGAAGCTGCTGCTGCTGCCATCGCCGCCTCATTGGAGCTAGAGCTGCCACTGTTGCCTGACAGGGGCCAGGACTGGGTCTAGAGCCACCACTGTTGCCTGGCCTGGGCTTGGGCTGGAGTCAGAGCTGTCACCACTGCCTGACTGGGGCCAGAGGAGGGGTGGGGCCAGGGCCATGGCCACCATGTCTCCATGCCCCAGGTCAGAGCTGTAGTCAGACTTGTTGCACAGAGAAGGTGATGCTAAGGGGGTCAATGATAGGTGGCCAAGTGGAGAAGACAGGCACTGGGGAGGTGTACAAGTAGCTAGGCGGGGCAAGGCACAGGGGCCACTTGCCTCCTTGCCCCTTGCCTTCCTGCTGCTACTTTTCCCACTGCTGTAGTTGACGAATTAATTTAAGACCACCTGTCGATAACTGTATGCTGTACATAATCAATTTATAAATTTCCATACATTTAATCCAATTATTGGGAAGCCTGTCTTAAATTCAGAGTTGTTTTAGATTGGTGTAAACACAATATAATAAGAGGAATTTCTCCCTGTTAGCTCACTCACCCCAAGTCACCACAGCTGGGACTATGAACTCAGATGTCCCACGTGGCAGGCAGAAGCTTTACCACACAGCCACCAGCCAGACTACATATTCATTTTAGCCACTATTTTGTTTATAATCTAGGTGCCAACCTGTAAGGTGTTCAGGGGAAGGACTATATGGGTTTTGGTTTTTTGTTTTAGCCAGAGTTGAACATGATCTTTCTGCTAAAGAAATAACAATTTGTAACAAGACCATGAATTAAAAGGATGCATTAGTGTTATGTATTGGAGAATAAAATGGTATAAACAGATTTGTTTGTTACATGCAGAGGAGAAGAAGGCAAAGAGCATCAAAGCTGAAGAAAAAGTTAAAAAGGAAATGAAAGATGGAAAACCAGAGCTGAAGATGCCTGAGAAAGTGAAACGGACTGAAATAAAAGTACAGGAAGTTGGGTTAATAGAAGCCAAACCGAAAGTTAAGGAGGAGAAAACATTTAAGGCTGAAACAAGATCGGAAAAGAAAGGTAAACAAAGCCAGGAGGAAACGGCTGAAGATCTTAAAATAGTGGGGAAGAAGCAGAAACAATGAAGTTACAGCTGACAAGACCAAAAAGTCAGAATCTGCAACATGTATAAGTAAATCCCCTTTGGATTTCAGATCACTAAACGGAAACAAAATGGACAAACAGGAGCTTAAAATGAACAATAAGGAAACAATAAGGAATTGTTACTCTCATGGTTAAAGATTCATTTTAATTTGAACACTTCCTTGAGATAGCAAGACCAGCATTCCTAGTAACGGAGGGTTTTTGAAGCAGAAGATTTAAGGGTTCTAATTTTCAGATTTTTAATCTTAAACTGCAGAGGGACTTAAACATTAATCTTTAAACTGCAGAGGAAGCAACAAGGTATTTCAATTTTGCCATTTAACCAACATTATTAAATCGGCAAGAGTTTTGATGACATGGAAAGAATATCTGATATGCTGAATAAATAGCAACATTAATTTGCGTTATCCAGTAACCTGTTAGGAAGTATGTTTGGGTTCCACAAATGTACATATTTTCTACTTAGGAATAACAAAAATTGCAGGTGATAGAATGGAATGATTTGCATTATATCAGATCACATGATACACTGCCATGTTTTCTATAACACAAGCACATGGTGGTGCCTGATATAACTTGACACATAATTGGGTTCCAGATTTCTGCTAATAGGGAAAGAAATGTCATTTCTAGAGGCAAAAGAAAGAAATTAGATTTTAAAAAAGGTAATACATGTGGGTATTCACTACAAGCATATTTCCACAATGGTCAGTCTGGATTTTGTTGCTGTTTAATCACAGTAGGTGAATCTACACGTAAAATTAACACATAGCAATAAACTGTAGTGCAGTTTGTGCTGGAGTTTATTGCTCCTAGGTGAAATGTTCACACGTGCTGACAGATGGCCTGGGAAGTCAGCCTGCCAGCTTGGGGCTGCTCTGCCCTGATTCATCATGCTGTGGTGCAGGTGCCAAGTGGAGTGGGTGATCCCTGCTGTCCCCCACTGCCCCGTGCTCCACAGGGGCTGTGGGGGACAGTTCACTGCCATGAGCCCCCAGAGGCTCTGATCACCGCTGCTGCAGCTGCTGTGTGTGGGGCTTTTTAGTTTTTCTTTTCTTTTTTTTTAAAGTGCCAGGAGGCTGGGGCTGGGCAGGGCAGCCATGGGGGCTTCTCCTGAGGCTCCTCCAGCTGTGGCTGCCGCTGCCCCGGTCAGGGGAGTTGCAGGAAAAGCCCCCATGTCTTCCCTGCCCAGCCCCAGCCTTCTGGTACTTTAAAAGGAGGGTTGTGGGGCTGTACCAGACTCTTCCCAGGGGCACCTCTGAAACATTCTGAAACATTTCCAAAACATTTCGGATGGTTTTCTTTCATTTTAGACATGTTTTGGAGTCTTCTGTTTCATTTCAGGTTCGGTGTTTTGGGTGCTGAAATGGGCCCAAATACCTCTGAAATGAAATGGGGCACAAGGGTACTACAGTGTGGGGCTAACTGGCAGGCAGGGAGCACGGGGCCTGGTCCCAAAGTGCATGGGGCCAGGAGAGTTCTGCCAACTGCGGTGGCAGCTGTCTGCTGGCCCCATAAATATTAGGAAGGGCTGTGATGTGCACAGAGCCAGGAGACAGCTGCTTCTGCAGTTGGCAGAGTTCTCCCAGCCCCATGAACATCTGGACACACAGCTGCTGGTGAACCCCATGCCCAGTGGGACTTTCCTGCCAAGCAGGGTCTCACCAAGAGATCTCCAGCTCCTGGGGCAACTGCCAGCAAGTTCCAAGCTAAGCAGGGAAGCACAAAGTTTCCCAGTCCCAGTGGTGCTCAGCTCCCAGCTCCTGTGGGAAGCCAGAAGCTATGCAGTGCTGGGTCAGGTGAGCGGGGGGTTGGGGGTAGAGAGCGACCACATCCTTGCTCTGATTGGCTCCTGGCTACTTGGGGTAGCCAGGAGCTGAGCAGTGCCAGGCCTGGAGACAGAGAACTCTCCCATCCCTTGTGGTCCCTTGCTGGTGTGGTTTACTGAGTGCAAATTTGGTCCCAGGCAGATTCTACATGAGCGCTACTGCACAGTTAATCTAGTACCTGTATTTACAGGCATTAGCTAACTGCGCAGTAGACTAATTTACTGCTCAGTAAAGGCCATGCACATGTAGACAGTGACACTTTACTGCATATTAGATTAATCTACTGTGCAGTAAAATGTCTCATGTAGACATCTCCACTGATAAGTAGCACAACACCCACTGGGACTTGTTAGAACACAACTAGACAGGAGTTAGGTGTGTGCTGTAGGGCATAATCATTCAATCGTACAATCCATTTCCTGTGAATCCATATTCTTGTACAAAGCTTCATTGATATCAGTGGTCTAATTCCTGAAGATGCAATCTGCCCCACTCATAATTTCAAGATCATAATCATGGACCCTCTGGAAAGTGGAATTACTTGACCTCAATTGTATAATTTCTAGAAATTTGAGAATACATAATTGGCAAAAGAAACATTGAAACCTACAGAAAAAATATTATAATATATTGACTTAACATTATCTTAAATTATCTTAATATTATTCAAACAGTAGTTTTACATTCCACATAATTTTTTTGTTCTCATGTAAAATACTGAAGACTTTAAGGCTTAAAATTGAGACAATTTTGCCTTTTCCGTGACCAGAGGCATCTTCCAGATGTGTTGTGCTGTTTGCAGTGATGGGATTTCCACACATTTCAGGATTTACTTCACATTCTTCATGGTCAGGAGCAAAGAAAACAAAGCATTTGTAGGTATGGGAGTTTATTTTCTAATATTAAAATATTTGAAAATGAATAGAAGCCAGAGACAAGGGAGATTACGGATTTTTTTCAAGAAAAACTCTGAGGTCAAGTAAATCCTTTTTCTCCCCCCAGTGCCTCTCAAGGAGTCCACCCAGCACTGAATCTTTTCAGTTTTTATAACCCTCTTTTTAGCTGTATACTGCCAGATCCAAGTCTGGTACAACTGAAACATCTAGCTACACATTTCAGTCCTGCTGTGATTTAAAAAATGGATGTAATTTCCATGTCAAACTAGACATCTGAATATTAAACATAATCTGATGACAAAATTGTAGTGCCTAATCCTGGAAGCCTGGGCTGTCCTTGTTGAAGGGAGTGGTTTCTTTGACTTCACTGTAGCTGTACAAACTAACATAACTGTGAACCTGAGTAAAACTATAGACTGTTGCCCAGTTCTTTCCCTACCTGTTTTCCTCTGCCACTAAGAAAGCTTATGTAGTGCTTAGTATGACAGAGAGTGGTCAGAATAGTTTTGAGAGGTTTAAGTTTTGAAGGCCATATCAACTACCAGTATAAATACTGACTCTCTTGACTGAAGTAGATCTAAGGTGATTGGTATCAATGAAAAACTGGCCCTGAACTCCCATCACTTTTATTGCTTTTCTGATGTGGTATTCTAAACTATTCCCTTAAAAAAAGGTTACTCAGTACATATGTCACTGTGTCCATTTCATTAGATAAATGGTGGTCTGCATGTGTACCAGTTTAAAAAGTTGGTGCTTGTGACATATGATAGAGACTGTGTCAGGTCTCCCATTCTTTTTGGCATTCTCTCTTAGCATATGTTCCCCAAATTGGCAAATAACATATTGGCCCTAGGGATTTTATGCCCCAGAGGCAGTTATTGGCTTATGCTGTCTCCTAAAGCTTCACAATAAAAATGCCTGGAGATAGACTGGATACTTTCAAAGTATCTTAGGACACTCACAATATCTGTTATTTTTCAAGACAATTAATCACCAATATGGTACAGCTATAAGATGAAAAACACTGATGTAAATCCTTATTTCAGTAAAGGACTATGATTTAAAATGAATCTTTACCTCTTAAATTGGAAATATATTTGAAATGCTTTGGCCTTGTTTCTTATTTTAATAGTGCCAGAATTCCCATTGACATGAATGGGAACATTACCAAGCTCCTTACTGTTTCCTATACAATAATAGCTTTATTTTTGCTATTGTAGGTTTTAATATTATGAGTTCATATCCATTATAAATCCCTATTTTCAGGGGTTAAATAGCTCAAAAAAGAATTGCTGTAGGCAGAAATATAGCATAAAATATCTCTGCCCAGAAGCAATTGAAAAAATATATTTTATCTATATTAAAATTACAGTAATATAAATGAACTAGACATCCGTCAATGCAGATCCTTGTTTGCACTGCAAAGATTAACAATGGCCTTCTTTCATATAAATGATTTTTTCAGTCTGTTAGTTCATAATGGACTAATGTATTTAGGCCCTGATCCCAACCCATTGAAGTAAATTGGATCTCTTCCAATGACTTCTGTAGGCTTTGGATGGGCTCATTTAGAGGATTTATTTAGTTTCTTGTGTGTTTGCTTTTATTTTTTCAAACAATATTTTTTTTCAAAAAATATTTTCATTTTTGCACACACAATGCATAGGTGCAGAAGCCAAGTACCTTAAAATCCCTAAGTAGTCATTGATGGATAGTCTGCACTGATCAGAATGAATCATTAGGCTTTCCAATCACATTTCCAATTAAAAAAAATCTGCTTCAAGATTTATAGCAATAATAGCTACTCTGGGCACACTTTGATTGATCAGCTAACATATATTTTGTATAAGTTTTTACAGATTGATAAAATAGACTCTAAAGACTTCATAAGAATGGTTTATAGTCAAGGTCCTGTGTACTCCTAGGCAAACTAGATCTAACATTGTACAAGAAGGAATATGGTTTGTGACTAGAAACTCTGCAGAAGCTTCGGGCCACAGACAAATGTTACTTTTGTGCCGAGAGAAAAGCGTTCCCCAAGTCCCTAGATTCACACTGCTGCCCATGCCACTGTGCTAGGCAGCAGGGGCAGCCATTTAAATGGTGGTGGGGATGGGAACTGGGGTAAGGGAGGCTCTACCTGCTTGGGATTCCCTGTGTCTGTGACTACAAAACTGTTTACAGCATATCCCTTCCCAGGGAGGAGAGAGGGCAAGCTATCAATTCATGGGTTCTCCTTAGAGCAGAGTTGGCCCAGGGAGCAGCTCTCCAGTGCCCCCAGCTTGAGTTCTGACCTGCATAGCATGCACTTTTTTTGTACATACTATTTTTGTAGCAACTGCTAGAAACAAATTCCTGCCAGTGGCCTCAGATAAATTAAGCACCAGGGTTTTTAGTGAATCAAACCTAAAAATGAATAAAATAATCAGCACTGCATGATGAGGGATGAAATGTTATATTTTAAAAAAAATGTATTTTTCCCTTTAATTTTAAATTTTGTTTTCAAGTGAGAAGTTTTTGGCTTAATGATGAATAGGAGAAAAAGGAACTTTGAAATTTAGGAAGTCCTTAGGGAAGCAGTTAGAGCTTTCTGTTAAAAGTATTGAGTTACCCATTGAAACTGTTTTAAAAAATAAATTAACGTAACAACCTCAGGCATAAGGCAGGGTAGAAATGCACCTTATAGACTAACTAAATAAGACATATAGAAGGAGCATAAGCTTTTGTGAACTCGAACTTGCTTCATCAGATGCATCAGATGAAGTGAGCTTCAGTTCACAAAAGCTAATGCTCTTTAGATATCTTATTTAGGGTATGTTCAAACATTCCTGGGACCCAGTCTACAAACACGTGGCTTACTTTAAGCTGTGTGATTATAGATCAGGTCTCACTTACGCAGATGTTTGCTGGTGCTGGGAGCTGCACTGGGAATGTGATCTAAATAAGTCAGAGTGGGGAGAGGAGGAGGCAGGATCAGGGAGGCATTAGCAGGTTCTTGGGTGAGGGAGGGGAGTTGGCAAATCCAAAGGGAATTGGCTATACTGGGGGTCTAAACAGCCCACATGAGGAGTTACTCGTGGGTGGATTGGGGGAATAAAAGCCTGGTCAGAGAATGGGGGATAGAAAAAGTGCAGCCCAAGGGCTGGGACAAGAGGGTGGGCTTTTCCAGCCTCAGGGCTGCACTCTGACCATGTAAAGATGTTAAGTAGATCCGACTAACGCATGCCCAATCTAACTTAGCTCATCTCCTCAGGCCAGGCATTTTTGCCTGATCTAACCTCCCTGGACATCTGTACAGATTGACACTTAGATCAACCTAGTTAGTAACATCTGCATGCACCCTTAGTTAGTCCATAAAGCAAATATCTCCCTTGCCTTCCACCTGACTTCAGACTCATATGACTGCCTGCCTCTCTTTGCATATAAAGATCCTGTCATAAACCCACTGAAGTAAGGATATTCCGATCTAAAGGTGCGATCCTGCAACTATTTAATGGAATGAATAATAGTCTTACTGACAAATGGCACAACATAGGGTCATGGGCATTATATTGGTAGTGCTTGCAGGATAAGGCCCTAAACCTGAAACTTGATGCTCAGCCTTTCCTGTTTCTTGAGTATATTTTGTCAAACTAAAGGATTCACATCTAGTGCAGGAGGCCAGGACACAACAAACCACTCCTTATAGCTTATCGTCATTGTGTTGGAGCTCTGGAGGCTAAACAACAGTGCAGAAGTGCCAGTGCACATTGCAGAAATGTTCTTCATGGGCCAATGTATGCCAAGGTCAAGTCATTTTGTGGTTGATCTGGCAGTGACATGAAAGTAAGCTTGGAAAACAACTGCAATTTTATACAAATCCATTTGGCCTCAGTATTTTGTTCAGCCAGCACTGTGAAGCTATGACTTTGGTTCCAGTTTAAAGGCAGGAGCAGTTGCATGGGAAAGGTGTAGCAACACCACTTTCTGCCACTTACTGGTGAAATCCAGTTTGTAGAAGGAGAGCAAATTGCACTTTGCCTGTTTTATAAAACCAGAGCAGGGATCTGAGGGGAGACTGATCTCTGCAACACTAAAGTTGTTAAACTGGTAGGCCTAAGTAAGAACTTGAACATTAACTGGATGGTCTTTATTTGTGTATATGAATTGATTAGGCCGGGGAACCTCTGAGTAAACTGCAAAAATATCCAGAATTGTGTGAGAAGTTGCTACCAACCTGTGTCTTCACCACTAAAGAGACAAAAAGGCTTTTACACTTACTTTCTTCATTGCTCTTTTTCCTTTCTGCTTTGTTAGATCAATATGCATTCTGTCGCTATGTGATTGACATGTTTGCGCAACGGGATTTTTATACAGGTACTTTTATACATCATTGAACTCTGTGCTAATAGTTTTTTTGCTTTTTGGCAAGATTCTGCTTCTTTGTGCCTTAAAGAATGTTTTGTATTTTCAAAAGATTGAACTGCAAATAATTTAAATAAAGCATAAGGGCTAATGGCTGCATTATTAAAGCTTTTAATTTTTCTTTCAACAATTGCATGTATTAAAAGTAAGCTTAATTTTAAAGTGAAGTTATTGTTTGCTTGTAAGGTAAGATTTTCTATACTTTCTATAGAAAGCTTTAGAAATGCTAAAATCTTCCTATTAAGTGATATACAGAAGGACAGAGTAATATGCTACATTCTTCTTCAATAGCAAACAATAACCCAGAATATTTAGCTTTAAAAAGAAAGGACACTGCATTGAAAACCATTGCTGCTTTTAATGTCTGAAATCTTTTAACTGATCCATTACTTCTTTTCTCTCCCCACATGCACACATTCATCTCTTTGAACTTATGTTCAGTTCTCAGCAAAAGAAGGGAGAACTATTGCTGATGACTGAAAATGAGCTTGTCCTACAACATTAATTCAGTTCAACCCATTTTAATATTTGTTGACTTTATTTATTTATCGTTTATTCATTTTAACGATGCTGCCAAACATCCATAAATGGTGCTGTTACAGAGGCTAGGTACAGACAGTCAAAAACCCCGAGGCTGAGTTGATTCAGTCTTTGCAAGTTAGGCTAAACTGTACAGAATAAATGGAAACAGAAGTGAACAGACATTTATCCTTTGAATCAGGAAACGCAGCCACATGCCTGCAGTGGCTCAGGTCAGAAACCAGGGGCATTAGAGCATGGCTGTCTGGCTGTGTGTTCAATTCCTCTTCCTGCTGCCCCTGAGGTCTCTGGGATTTGCAGTCCAGAATCACAGCACCAGGACTGTGTAGGCTTTTCATCACTTCCTCTTTCTGCTTCCAGGTGCCTCTGGGATTTGTAGTCCACAGTTGCAGCGTGCAGTAAGTTCGAGTGGGGGAAGGGGTGTTTAACCCCCCGCCCTAGCCTCAGACCCCAGTTGGGGTTTGGTGGAGGGGAGGGGCTATCCTCTACTTGTAGGCTTGGGCTGCATCCCCAGCTGGGCTTGCCCCTCCTACTCTGTATGCCAGCCATCACTGCTCCTATGGAGCAGGGGTGGGGCCAGCCCTGCTGTGCTCTCTGGAGCAGACAGCCCAGCCCAGGCCAGGGCTAGAAAGCATGCTGGGATTCTGGGGAACTGTGATTTAACTTGAATCAGGAAGGGATCTGGGACAGAAGTTTCATAAAGTGGTTTGACCCAAATTAGTTAAGTGTGATACTTCATTCATTTTGAAACTGGTTTATGTGCACTGAGCTTCTGTTCTGCTAAGGTTTAAACCAGTTTCTGATCACTTAAACTGGTTTATGTGTAACTTCTTCCCCTAGATAGGGAGTACACAATCCCAGGGAAATTATCCCTGTTCTCACTGAATTAATAAGATCAGATATGCCTGTATGTTCTGTAGTAATACCTCTTGATAGCCTGTTTCTTATAATTCATAATGTTATTCTCCAGCTCCTCCAGGTAGAGTACACTGTCTTAAATAGTCACTATAACAAAACTAACTCTATACCCTCTCCGTCGCAACTAGACACTTACTTTTAGACCCTTTAAATTGCCTTGCCACCTCAAGGGTCTAAAAGTAAGTGTCTAGTTGCGACGGAGAGGGTATAGTATTTTCTAAATATCCTGAATAATTCTACTTGTGAACAGTGAAGCAAAGCATGGCTTATAAAACAAGTAAAAAATAATACTAAAACATCCAGAGCATCCCTCTATTCTTTCAGATGAGGTGATGAAAGGTGAAGTTCAGATACACACAGTTCTGTACACTTTTAAAAAAAACTTTCAGAAAGCTTTACCGGCAACAGTTCAGATAGTGCTTTTCTCAGCCAATATGCTCATTTTACAGTGTTTCTTCATTAACTGTAACAGTCTTCCTTGAATAGATATATAGAGTAAAAGCAACCTCCCAAAAAATGTCTCTCTTAATGTCCCTATTATTTAATTAGGCTTAAAACTTGCTGTAATTTACCTCTCTGTAAGACTATAGTATTTTACAGTAGATTTATGCTGACCAGGAAACTTAACTAAAAATAAAAATTTATCATGACCAAAATTTGTATTTATGGATGAGGGGGGAAAATTATTTTTAATAGACTTGTGTATATATAGACATAACGATAATATAACTCTTAAAGGTAAATGATACCTGCTGTTGTGATGCAACTGTTACTTCTGTAGGATTCAGTAGACACACAGGAATGTAGCAAAACTATTCCAAATTTAACACTGCTTTATTTAAGATCAAAGTTGGGCCCATTTTACCTAACTTGCATTACTACAGGATTGTTCACAAATAGCAGTTAGACCAGAACAGCTACTGCACACGACTGAGCTGCAGCTTGGCTTCCCCTTTTAGAGTACCTAAAATGTACATTTGTCCAGACCCTTTGAACTTCCATTAGCTGATGGAATCCATCGGCTTCTTAGTGGAATAAAGAGTTTCAGTTAAATAAGAGCAATCACTTTGCTCTAAAAATATTTGTAACTGCTTTGGAGGACATTTATGCTAAGTGCACATAAAATAAAAAAAATTATAATTTATCATATTTGCTTTAGTGGCAAATGCATATTAGGTACTGGCAATATAAGTTTAATTAAAATGTTATGCTTGCATGAGCAGCCAAAATATATCCCGTAACATGGAGTTTGACAGTTTTAGAGTGACAAAATATAACTAAATAAAATTTAGTTGTACATTTCACTTATGTCATATCTTTAAAGATACATCTTCATTTAACCTGCATGACCCTCTGAGGTGGGGACAGAAGTTACACATAAAGTGATATAAATGGTCAGAAACTGGTTCAAAACTGTAACAGTAGACGTTTAGTGCACATAAACCATTTTCAAAATGGCCAAAATTGGTTTAAGATACATTTGAATGGATGTAGTATCAGACTTACCTGATTTAAGTTAAATTGGTTTATTGAATTTCTGTCCCAGATCCCCTCCAGATTCAAGTTAACTCACAGTCCCCCAGCATCCCAAGATGCTTTGCACTTCCCTCACAACTCCACTTGCAGGGTGGGTGGACTAGCCTTGGCCCAAGCTGTCTGCTGCAGCTGAGCAGGGAGGTGTGCTCTAGCACCCCCCAGCTTCCGGCCTGGGTCACTACAGGCATGTGGCTGCACTTCCAGAATCAAAAGTGAATGTCTGTTCACTTGCTTAAGGGTTCAATCTACACAGCTTAGACTAACCTATGAATTGATTTAGTACTCCAGGACTTTTTACTGTCTGTCCATTTGCTTCAATTTTGTCAGTTTCCTCTGGGCTTAGTAGTGGTGATTCAAATCAAGATTTCTGATCATGGTGAAGCCAAAACAAGTTTCAGAGAGATGTTTTTGTTTATGGCTTTCCTCATTAAGGTTCTGCTGGTTTCCCTAGATTTCTCCCACACTGTAATCCTTGTATTAATAAAACTCAGTTTTTGCCCTCAACCAGTGATTCTCAAGCAGTGTGCTGCAGCAGCTTTGGCTGCTTTGAGATAGTTTCCAGGGTGACATGGAGTGTTATCACAGTTTGGTGTGCAAACAATTCACAAGATAAACCTGGGGATTTCAAGTAGGAATACATAGTGTTAAAAAAATCCTGACCTGTTTTGACCTTTCTGAGTTTCTTGTAGAAGAAAAATTGTTTTATCTTTTTTTTATAGTAAAAAATGAGTGAAAAATAAGAGCTGGCATTTTCTGAGGAGTCTTGAATCTAACGAAAGGGTTCTTGAGTCTCACAAGTTTGAGAACCACTGTTCTAGACTGTCATTGATGTAGATCCTAGTCCTCAATATTTGAAGTAGTTATGCTACCATTTATTAGTTCTGGAGCTATTTAGACCTGTGATCAGTCTAATGGTGCACCAATATATCCTAGAAGGATTTGTTTTTCCTGTAATTAGTTGATACATTTACACCAAGAAGTAGAATGCTCGCAATTTTCAATCCAGGAAGTATGTAGTAGTTTGCTATTCATTAGGGAGCAGATTGGGCCACTGTGTGGCTGTATCTACATGTGTAATTAGCATGTAGCAATAAACTCTGGACTTAATTGCCCACAGCATGTATTTGGCTGATGCAATCTGCACTGGATAAATGCTACTGCACAGAGGGTAATAATTTACTTATTGTGGATGCCTGCTGAGCAAAATTGGGTAGCTAGAGCCAACACTTTCAAACCCATGAATCTAAAATTAGCTACCTAAATAAGTGGCCTGATTTTCAAAAGCTCTGAGCAATAATAGTTCTCAGTGGTACCCTCTGCATCAGGTTCCCCTCCTGCCACCACTTCAGAGGCACTGTGTATCCCTCCTGGATTAGTGGTCCCACCCACTCTCTCAATGATAGGTGTCCTACAGTCCATCTAATGTACTTGAACAACAACAACAATAATTATTATTATAATAAATGTTGTTTTCGATCATTAAATGTTCTGAATGTTATCTTTTGCTCCTTACACATAATTTTATCACACATTCTGGAACTCGTGTTCTAGCAGCAACCTTGAAGCTTGATTTTCATGTTGTTTGTTTGTTGGGGGTGGGGTTTGGATTTGGGAGTGTGAAATTTTCTCACTTGTGCATCAGCACTTATGCATGCCAGGAGTCCTCTTTATCTGCACTGGTCTTGCTCTGTTATGCTTGGTTTTACTCCCCTAGCGCCAGATCCCCACAGTTTCCCCACTCTTTCTCCCAGGCTGCATGAATCCTAGGGGAAGCAAGTGGTAATATTTCCTTGGCTTTTCAGAAAAGAGTGATTGCTCTTGTGTGCTTGTTTAGTGATTTCTGGCATGCTTCTTTCTTCTGCATGCCCATGGAAAAGAATTGCTGAGGCAAAGAAATACCTATTCACAGGGTGCTCAGTCATAAATAGGGATTTCCGCTTCCTCCAATCCTACAGACT